CAGGAGAGAAAGACTGAACACGTGAAAAAAGAATCAAAAGAAAAGAGCTCTAAGTGATCGAGAGCTGCTGTAACATGCTGCCACAAGGAGGCGCCATCTTCTTTTCTTTATTCACTGTTCCTTTGGAACATTATATTCACCTATTCCCTGTGTGTGTGTGTGTGTGTGTGTGTGTGTGTGTGGCAGAGCCCGTGGGGTTCGGTGGCCCCGGCAGCTCCGGCCTGTTCTCTGGCTGATGTGATGAGCGAGCAGCTGGCCAAACAGCTGGATGAGGAGGACGCCACCTTCCCTGCGCTCACTGAGTGAGTTCTCAACATCTGTGAGTTTGATAAAACACCTGCAGGTTCATCACAATGTGAAAATCGTGAACAGTTTTCATTGTGTTTCTCAGACCGGGAGCAGATCTGCTGTCGTCGGGTGATGCTCCTGAAACCACCAGTGACCTGATGCTCGCCAAGATGCTGCAGATGCAGTTCGACCGTGAGTTTGATGATCAGCTGCGCCGCGAGGAGAAGAAGTTCAATGGAGACAGTAAAGGTATAAACCCAATAATTTGAGATTAGAATACAGTTTTATTACATTAAAACAGATTAAAATGTTCTTTAAGAGTCTCTGTTTAATGTCTCATGTCCAGTGTCCATCTCCTTTGAGAACTACCGCATGGTTCATCCATATGAGGACAGCGGCAGCTCAGAGGACGAGGTGGACTGGCAGGACACGAGACACGACCCCTACAGAGCAGGTAACTGCAGCAGGTTGACTAAATGAACGTAAGTCTGGACGTGTTCCTGAAATGTTCTGGAGGTTCTGTATGTGAGAACAAAAACGTCTGAGTCAGTTGCTCCGTAAATGTTCTGCAACATGTCCTGAAAAATGTCAGAGTGAGTCCATGTGAGGAAACAGCGGGAACATGTCGGGAAACTTCACAGTGAGCGAGAGCTGCTGCTTCACAGGAGAAACAGGAACCACAGGAAATGTCCAGACAACATTTTACAGAGTTCATGTGTGAAAACAGTGAAAGTGGGAGATCAGGGTTTAAATGCTTGAGTTGTTGGTGACGTGTGAGTGTGTGTGTGTGATACAGATAAGCCTCAGACGACACCGCGTAGAGGATTCGTTGGAAAAGGCAAAAACATCACGACCAAACATGACGAGGTGACCTGTGGTCGTAAGAACACTGCGCGCATGGACAACGTAAGACAACGTCATGTTTTCTCAAACTCTTCACATTCATGTTTATTAACATTTAAATATTCACAGGTTCCGAAAACATATGAATTTATATCAGTGTTTTTTTTATTGAAAGCCTGAACGTGTGTTAAAGAGAAATGTACATATGAAGTTTAAACTTGTGTCTTATCAAAGTCAAATCATTATTTAATCTAAACAGGAAGTCACTTTGGTTGAGAGAGTTTTCTCCTTTGTGTTCATGATGGTTTCAAATATTTATTTGTTCTTTCTGTCGACATGTTCGTGCTTCATCAAAGAGAAAGTGTTTGCGATAATTTCATAAGCCCCCCCCCCCTCCAGTTTGCTCCTGAGGTCCATGTCGGCGACGGCCTGGGGATGGACCTGAAGTTGCCCAATCAGGTGTTTAACGCTCTGAAGCAGCACTGCTACAGCGAGCAGAAGCGCAGCGCCAGGCTGCACGAGAAGAAGGAGCACTCCACCGCCGTAAGAACAGACTCAGAAAAACAAACATCATAACAAGCTGTTCTTCTTCAACACAAACCTCCGTCCTCTCTCCACAGGAACAAGCCGTGGACCCTCGCACTCGTCTGCTCATGTATAAGATGGTGAACACTGGCGTGCTGGAAAACATCAACGGCTGCATCAGCACGGGTAAAGAGTCCGTCGTCTTCCACGCCGACGGAGGGAGGTGAGTGGGTACAGAGGGGGAGGGAGGAGCATCGGAGACACTGTAAATAAAGATGGACGATGTGACGGCTCTGCGTGTTCGTGTTTCAGCCTGGAGGAGGAGCCGGTGCCGGACGAGGTGGTGCTGAAGGTGTTTAAAACGACGCTCAATGAATTCAAGAACAGAGACCGCTACATCAAAGACGACTATCGCTTCATAGATCGATTCAGCAAACTGAACCCTCGCAAAATCATCAGGATGTGGGCCGAGAAGGAGATGCACAACCTGGTCAGGTAACGTCTGCGGAGATTCAGTGTCTCTTTAATAATTCATCTTAAGATTATTCATTGCCCAGCAGGTTTCAGACCTCGCGTCAGTTTCTTTGGAGAATCCAGCGAGGTTCCTGTTAATCGGTTAAAAGGGCCAGAAAAGTTCTGATACGATTGGTCAACTGCTTCCAGCGCGTGTCGTAGATGTCAGGTGTTAACGGAGCAGCGAACAGTTGCCATAGAGACGCAGAGATGTGTTGACGTTCGCTTGTTGGTTCTCAGGATGAAGAAGGCGGAGATTCCCTGTCCGGAGGTGGTGCTGCTGAAGAAACACATCCTGGTGATGTCGTTCATCGGTAAAGACCACGTTCCTGCTCCCAAACTCAAAGACGCCATGTTGGGTTCAGAGGATATGAAGAACGCCTACTACCAGGTTCTACACGTATGTACACTGACAGGAAGTCCACTTGTTCTGACACGTGTAGACACGGTTTGTACGACTGAGGATAATGAGTCGGTTGTTTGAAAAAGCAACAGTTCAGGTTAAAGGTTTAATAAATAACTCGTTCCTGATAAATGGAATCGATCAGCTGCTGGTGAATAAATGTTGCATGATGATGTTTTCTGTGTTTGATCGTTTCTCTGCAGATGATGCAGCAGTTGTTTCAGGAGTGTAATCTGGTTCATGCTGATCTCAGTGAATACAACATGCTGTGGCACGAGGGGAAGGTGAAACTCTTCTTTTGTTCCTACAGATTTCTGTCCATCTCTCCATCATCTCTCTTTCCTCCTCTTGGTTCAGCTGCTTTTCTTTCTCTCTCTCATTTTCTTCCTGTGCTCTGACTCGCTCCATCGTTTCTCTCTTTCCCTCTGTTCCTTACATCTCTCAGCTTCCTCTCCTCCTTCCGTCTTTTAATCTACTTCCACTCTTCCTGTCGTTGCTTCTGTCTATCCCTCCATACTGCTGTCGTTATCATTAACGTGTCTCGTCTTGGAGAGTCGGACCTGTGAGTGCGTGAAGGTGACCTGTCACTTTACATCTTTCCTTCCTCTCTTCCTGTCTTCATCTTTCTTTCTTTTATCTGGTCTCACTTGTTCAGTTTTCTCGTTAATTCATTCCTCTCGGTGGGTTTCGTGCAGGTGTGGTTGATCGACGTCAGTCAGTCCGTGGAGCCCACTCACCCTCACGGTCTGGAGTTCCTCTTCAGAGACTGCAGGAACGTCTCCACGGTAACGGCTGCTCTCCGATCTGTGTGTGTCAGGATGAGTCTGTCAGAACGTTTGAGCAGGAAACATCACAGAGAAATTAAATGTCTTTAAAAGTCAGAAAATATTGAATCTGATCTGGTTCAAGTTCAGCGAAAATTATACTTTTTTATGAATTAGTTTGTCCTTAATTATTTGTCTTTCATAAAATAGATTAGAAATGAATCATTAGTAAAATCTCTGTCAGGATTTAACTGGTGCTTATTATTGATTAACTTAAAGGCCTGTCAGCCAATCAGGTTCAACTTCGTCTGGTTCAATGAACCAGTTTAATCAGAAACTGTCACAAAGAGACGAGTCATGTTGCCAAAAGTCTTGAGTCATGGTTACGTGTTGTTTGTCTGGAACCAAACAAAAAGGCAAGTGTGTGTGTGTGTGTGTGTGTGTGTGTGTGTTATTGTACCTTCCAGTTCTTCCAGAAGAGAGGAGTGAGTGAGGCGATGAGTGTTTACGAGCTTTTCAACATCGTCACTGGACTGAACATCCCGGTCGGTGCTGAAGACGACGCTGAATTCATCGCAGAGGTAACAAAGAGACAGACACACACACCAAAGACACAGAGACAGACACACACACACTTCACTCACCTGTGACTGTTATTTATTCCAGAAAGCGTGTTTAAACTGTTGATTTCCCATCATGCTTCTCTCTGACAGATTGTGGCGTTGGAGAAGAGGAACGAGGATCACGTGCAGAGACGAGGGAAGAAAACCTTCCCCATCGACTCTGAAGACGTCAGCCCGCCTTCAAGCCCCGGGGCAGCTGACTAACGCTCGCCCGGCTCGCTCTGTCTTCATGATGTTGCCATGTTGAAAACGCTGGAAGAAGACAAACGGAGGACGCTTGTGCCACACCCCCTCCACCAACCAACTGCTTCCTGTAAACATGCAGGGTGGAGCGCCTCCTCCTGGCTGCAGGAGGACTGATTGGACCCAGGTGGATGTTGAAGTCGGAGCGTCCGGGCGGCTGTGAGCCTCCTGCAGAGTTTGCTCATATTTGCTCAAACTGACTTCAGTCAGAATCGTTTATTATTAAAAGCTTCGTTCAAAAACTGAGATTTATTTGAAGTTCTCGTGGAGAAGTTCTCAGGATGGAGCAACCCTCGAAATTATTGATATTATTCTTTGGGTTGATGATACAAGAATGACATGTCGGGTTTGAATATTTGACGTAGGCTCAGTGAGTTTTAAGAGCGAGCAGCGAGAAGAATGAGATCAAACAGGATTGAAGGAGTGAAATTGATGAACAGTTTTATAAAGTGAATTAATCCTCAAAGAGAAAATCGAAACACTAAATGGAAAATGTGGTTAAATATAAAGTTCTGATGCTGCTTTTAAAAACAAAGTCTTTATTCTTGATCCATCATTTTTTCTGTTTCTCTCCTCATCCTCGTCTCATAAAGTCCGTCAGGCTGCGTGTTGTTACCATGACGACAAACACTGGTGAGCTCATTGGCAACAGGTCGAAGAACAACATTCGTTCGACACAACACGAGGATAAATAAAAATAATTCAGACAAAATACAGTTTGTTGAAAAATCAAGTATTATTCAAATCAAGGATCATTTTATCATAGAAGTTAAATCTGATTATTAATGAGACGTCTGATTTCAGTTCTGAGCTTCAGTTCCACCTTTGATTTTAAATGTCTTTATTAAAACCTTAAGAAAACTATAAACTGACCTGAAATAATTCAGCAGCAACATCTCGGGAATGTGGGAGATTATTTTAGACGACGGAAACATTTTGGTGACACGTGAAACTAAAGAGTCAAACACGAGTGAAGCAGTTCTGAGCTTCGAGTCATTTTAATGTAAACGACGAAGGTTTAAATTTGATCACAGACGAACGTGTGTTTGACTTTAATAGATAAAAATGTTATTTGATGATGTCACATGCTGTTGGTTTGATGATGTCATGAATTATTCACAATAAAAAGAGACGAAGAAGACAGTTGGTGTTTTTAATGATTCAAATCAAACACTGGTAATAATCACGTTCACTCATGGTTTGTCACGTGGTGGTTTGTCACGTGGTGGTTTGTCACGGACAGTCTCAACATGTGATGTTCAGCCTGTCACGTGATTGGACTCGGGACTTCCTACCAGAAGCTTTCAAAATAATAGGACCGTACAATATCAAGCACGCTGGCACCATGAACACAACTGCAATGCGTCTCTCCTCTGGGCTAAAGTCTGACTTTATAAGATTAAATGTCAGATTCTGATCATTTATATTCGTATTTATTTGTCTTCCGAATATCAATTCATACCAAAATAATGATAAACAATTCTTTCTGGATTTATTCTGAAGGATGAAACCGGAAAATCAGGTCACATCCGGTCGTCGTGCCCCGGCTAACAGAAGCTAACCGGACCGAGGCTGTGACCCGCCGACAGGTGTGAAGAGGCGGCGACAGGTGTGAAGAGGCGGCGGCAGGTGTGGAGATGATGGGGGAACATTACCTGGAGCTGTGCGAACATCCGGTGCAGTTTGAAAACGCGTCCAGCGTCAACAACGTCTTCTTCGACGAGGCTAACAAACAGGTCAGCTAGTTAGCATCGCTAACAGGGCTAGCTAACGGGGCTAGCTAACGGGGCTAGCTAACAGAGCTAGCTAACGGGGCTAGCTAACAGGGCTAGCTAACAGGGCTAGCTA